TTCCATTCTGACCTTTCTGTAAGCCCTCACATCCAGGTTATAAATCTTGCAAATCCTTTCCACATCACTTTTCTAAAAGATGCAGTTGCATCTGCACTGCTACCACACTCACTCATCTAGGCTCTCATCATCTCCCATCCCAATTATGAACCCATCCTTTTTTCTGGCCTTGACAAATGCAGTCTTTCTTCATTCACGTCCCTCCAGGATGCGACTGCAAAGATCATTTTCTCAGCCCATCGCTTCCACCATGTCACCCCCTCATTGCATCCCTTTTCTGGCTCCCCCTTCTCCATGGCATCAAACAAAGCTACTTGTCTTTCAAGGCTCTTCACAGCCTTTCCCCTCCTACCCTGTTAAAAATTTAAAACAAGAACTGTTTTCCTTTCTTCCTTGTTGCCTTCAGCCTCAGAGGAGCTCCCTACAAGCATCTGCAAAGAACACCTTTTCCTTTCTCCCATGCTGCCTTCCACCCAGGGCCAGACACAGGCACCGGCAAGCTGGGAAGCCACCCTGGTCCCAGACAGAAAGGGGCTCCAAAAATAGTAACTTTTTTTCATTGTTCATTATTTACGATTATTATTATCGTTATCTCTGGCAAAGGGGTGCCCAATACTAAAAGTTTGCCCAGGGCCACCAGAAATCTAGGCATGGTGCTGCTTCCACCTCAGAGGAGCTCCCTACAAACATCTGCAAAGGAAATGTGGTTGTTCTCCTTCAAAGCCCTCCTTAAAACTCTCCTTTTCCACAAAGCCTACAAAACCATAGGCTGCTGGTGTGCTGAAACTCTGCCGTCATGCCGATCAGTATTGTCTTGCTGTTCTTATTCAAACTCCCTGGGGTTTTTTTGTCTTGTATATAATTTAAAATTGAAAACTCCTTGTAACAGTGACTGTCTTTCTGTTTATACAGCACCTAGCACAATGGTGCATGGCTAAAGCTTTAGGCTCCACAACAATCATAATAATAATGCTACATTTCTCAAACTGACAAATGGCACACAGGAATACACTAGATGGTGCTGCCAGTATACCAGCACACCAGGCTTTAGACAAACCAGTACACTTCATCATCAACAGGCAGGATAGGTCTACTTTAGGTGCACTCTACCAGCAAAGGAATACCAGCATATGGAAATAACCAGGAAAACACTGCTGTGAATCCAATTAGGCTGGCAGAGCTGTGTTTGTGTTAGTATAGTAGAATCCCTCTCAAACTCCCACTCATCCTCACCACAAGTGAAGCAGACTAATGGCAGGTGCAGATTTGCCAGAATACTTCAGTGGCATCAGCTGGCACAGCGCTATTGCTTCAGGATCATGCACAACTCGCTATAGTTATGCTGACAGACATCTCTAAAGTAGATGTAACTGTAGCGTTGCTGGCAAAAATTCTTTTATCAAAAGGCATGAAATATTTGCAATTTTGAGGCCTCAGCATTTTGAATCTTATGATATTGTAGAAATCTCAGCTTCCATTTTTTAAAAATTAAGTTAATAAATCTCACAATGGTGGAAAGAAAACAGAAATCATCACTTGGGTGCACACTAAATCTTAAGAAACCAGAAGGAAAAGAACCTCAAATTACACACAAAAAACCTCATGGACTGGATTCCTTTTTCTAGGTACGACTCATGAGTTTTGAATGCCTGGGGTTAGCAACGCTGAAAGTAGCAACTTCTTGTTTGATTTTTTTTTTGTATTTAGTTTTTTATTTCTATACTAGCATTTACTTTGCAATTCAGTGCAGTGGTTAGAATGTTTATTTCACCTAATGAATGCATATATATTTTATAAGCAGTAATTCTAGGCCTCAGCCATATGCATAAAATAGAAGACAACTAAATTATTGAAGATAGGGAATACAAAGTTGCAGTGTATTTTGTTGTCATTTTCATAGTTAGTAGGGTCAGAAGGGACCTGAGCAGATCATCAGGTCCGACCCCCTGCCATGGCAGGAAAGAGTACTGGGGTCAAATGACCCCGGTGAGGTGTTCATCCAGCCTCCTCTTAAAGACCCCCAGGGAAGGAGCCAGCACCACTTCTCTTGGAAGTTGGCTCCAGATCCCAGCCGCCCTGACAGTGAAGTAGCGCCTCCTGATGTCTAATCTGAGTTTACCCTCTGCCAGCTTGTGACCGTTATTTCTAGTCACTCCTGGTAGTGCTCGGGGGAACAGGGACTCCCCCAATGCCCGCTGGTCCCCTCTGACTAGTTTGTGACAGGCCACTAGATTCCCCCCTCAGCCTTCTCTTTTGGAGGCTGAACAGGTTCAGGTCCCGGTCCTGTAGCCTCTCCTCGTAGGGCCTGCCCTGCTGCCCCCTGATCATGCAAGTGGCTCTCCTCTGGACCCTCTCCATGTTGTCCACATCCCTCCTGAAGTGCGGCGCCCAGAACTGGACACAGTACTCCAGCTGCGGCCTGACCAGTGCCGCACAGAGGGGGAGGATCACCTCCCTGGACCTGCTTGAGATGCATCTGTGGATGCATGACAAGGTACGGTTGGCCTTCCTGACTGCATTCCCACACTGCCGGCCCACGTTCGTCTTGGCATCAATGATGACTCCAAGATCCTTTTCTGCCTCTGCACTGGCGAGAAGGGAGTTCCCCAGCCTGTAGGTATGATGCTTATACAGTAAACACAAGGAGTGATGTTTTACAGGTTTTAAATATATGCCTGCCATGAGCCATTTTAGCCACTAAGTGTCTCTAGTAAACCATATTCAAAACTTTAAAAAATATTAAAGTTGTAGCATGAAAACTGTGTAAAAATGCACCTATTTTTCATCTAATCTGCTCCGTGTGTGTACTGTGGGTCAGATCTGCCGACTTCTTGACTAACATGCATTTGTATTCCTGTTCTCCCTGCAGAATCAACACAGCTCAGACGGAGCTAGAATCTATTCCTTTCCATGAATCATCAGAAGCATAGTTTATTGAAGTCAAAGAGAACGGAGTGACATACGTCCATGATGGTACAGCTGGCCTATTACCTGCAGTGATGTGGAAGGAAGTCACGGAATGTGACGCAAGACAAAATGAGTTGGGGCGGGGGGTTGGGCAAAGTGACCACTTAATTTTCCTGTTAACTGAACATTGTTTATGTGGTGCCATTAACAGATAACGAATAAGGAACACTTGGTACCATTTTAAACTGAGCCACTTTTCAGAGTAAAACTGCACTCTTCCTTTTACTAACTGGGGAACTTCATCCAGTTAAACTTTGGATGTAGCCTAATGAAAGGGTTCTTATGCCAACCCCTTCTCCTACCCACCCCCATTACTTTACTTTTATCAAAGCAAATGAACAAAGAGTCCTGCCTTCAAGTCTACAAGAAACAACAAGTATTCGTAGAGATGTTATCAATGAAATGCTATATTTCCAAAACACGTACCAAGATAATACCTTTTACCCTGACCCATTTCACTGAAATGAATGACCTTTGTTCTGGGCAGAGTTGAGCCTTACCACGAGGATACAAAATGGACAGCTCCATTTGTTTCCTGAACCCACTCTGTTCTGGAAACTTTCTAGGTATCATGTTTAATGTGTGTGGAGATAAATGCAACAGCTAATACAGCTTTATAGACAGCAAATGTCTGGGAGAGTGACAGGGGCAGGGGTGACGCATAGAGGGTGCATGGGGGTAACCTCTTGAGAGCTCCGGTGCACCCCCGGTCAGGCCAAGCTCCCTTTTTAGCTGGTGGGCAGGTGGGACCATCAGTGCCCCCCCCTGCAAGCACCAGCCAGGGAGCTGGGCTGCCAGCAAAAGCTTCTGGAAGTGACTGTGGGGGTTCTGGAAGCAGCGCAGATGCTTTAACAGTGAGTGAGACTGGTTGCGGGTGACCCCTCATCCCCCCGGTCAGCGGGATTGGCCACCGGGGGGCTCCCCCTCCCCCGCTGGTCGCTGCCTGGTGTCAGGGGGGCACATGCCCCCCCTGCCTCAAGAGGGACCAGACACCCGTGGACAGGGGCAGAAAGGCAATCAGGACTTGTAGTAGAGATGATAGCTTTCATTAAACCAACATTTTTGCAAAACAAAATTTCTTTAATTGCAAGCTTTTGTGCACAAGCACCCTTCATCAGGCACTGGAGAAAAGTTCTCCTGGGTAGAAATGAAAGTTCATATTTCATACGATTTCACAGAGGAGGCAATAGATGGAAAACTCCTCTGGGCAGTCAGTTCACAGTGGTATGAAGCCTCTCACCTCCTGTGAGGATCTGTGATGACACAAATTACCTTGAAACAAAGGCAGAAGCAGGATCTCAGGTTTCAGGTGGTCACAGTTGCTTCCTGCTTGGGAAAATATGAAGATTGAAAGCACCTTCCTAGTGGATCTGTTATCCTGGCTGAGTTGCAAAGAATGTGAAAGGCGACCAGGTATGCAGTCTACACACAGAGGAGGGGCCTAGAAAGTCAGATCTTTCCTGTGTGGAGGAACAAGAGAACTCTGTTCTCAGGAATAACTACATTCCCGCCCCGCCCCCCACCCCTGACCCATGAAGCACACACTTGGTTCTCTTCACCTCATCCCAATAAAAACAGGAAAAACAAAAATAAAAACACAGTATATCTAACTCCATTGATTCCATTTTGTAACCACTCCATCCAATTATTTGGTACAAGGGATTGAGATGACTGCATGTCCCATTGAAGCCCAAACTTGAAGCTGAAAAAAAGCAGCCATGACACTTGAAGACAGAGTATGAATAACCACAGGAGAAAATCAAAAGGAAGGGGTGGAATGGAATGGCTGAGCTGGACTGCTAGTGGTAGAGGAAGGGAATTTAAGAAAATGGCACTTCTATGTCCCCTGGTTGATTTTCACACTTTTAAATAGACATAAATCCAGTGCTGATAAGGAGAGAATGACATAGATATAAGATGGAGCCATGGAATGGATGGAGGAGAGCAGGCAGAACAAGAGAAACAAAGAACAATGAACATATGCCACAGGCAGCAAAAATCCTGGGATATGAAATAACTCATTTAGAGCTCACTTTTTTTTTTTTATAAATTACTTTATTTTCCGTAAGATACAAAAATTATATATACAATTTATGTAAAACCGCAGTTGACCAAAGGTACTGGAGGTTTCTGCTGTTCAAATGCAAGCATTTAGAGCAGCAGGGAGTACACCAAGCCATGCCTCCCCCCAACCCCAGTGTTTTAGATGGATCTTCGGCATACACGGAGCAGCACTGAAGGTGAGAGTAGGTGAAGACGAGAGAGAGAATGGGGCAAGAAACTGCAGCTTCCAATGTACAAAGTATCTGAAGGCACCTGAGAAGACGTACACACTTACCTCCTGCTTTACCACTGCCTGTTCTAATAGTAACAATAGACCCATGTGCCTGCTTACATAGGGGCTGAAGCCAAGCTACCCAAAGTTGTATTTAGAGTTTCAATGTACTATTTCCCTGACTGGGGTATACAGGGGCTTTTATGGAGGGAGAAAAAAAAATTCCCGTGCTTTTTGGTCCAACTTCACAGACAGTTCTTAAAATGGGTTCCTAACACATAAGCATGCTCTTTTCAAAAAAATTCCCTCCCCAAAGCAATACGGGAAACCCAGTGAAGACCCTCCCAACAGTAACTGCTTTTAAACACAGTTGTGACTAGCATGGCTTCAACACCAATGTGGGTTGGGTCACTGTATACAATCCCTTTAAAAAATACCTCAATAACTGTAGAGAGAAAGAAAGCATCAATAGTAGAAGACACACAAAAAGTCATGTGCCCGCAGAACAGGCATCTCAGAAAACACAACAAATCAGTTCATGTAACTCAGTGAAGAGATCAAAGGGTCCCAGGCACTGACTATCATCTGCTGGGCTCAGACATCAGCTTCTCAACTGGAATAGATGAAAGAGCCCATTTGGAGAGGTGAGCAGAAGTGTTGCAGGATGGCCTGCCAGGCATAAGTAAATTTGTCTTAGACTGGAAGGCAGGGTACTACCTTCAAGTCACCCCAAGCCAATTTCTCCCATACAGTCTTAGTGACAAAGTTTACTGAGACAGGAGCGTTGTGAACTGGTTTCTTAGCTTTTCTGGATAGGTACTGGCAGTGCAGCGTAGTCAGAGGGTAAAATTAACAGAGTACTCTTGACTACTGTTGCCCAGGTCTGTCTCAACAACAAGCAGGAAGTCAACGAAGGCACAGAAGAGGCACATGACACAAGCTCTCCTAAGTGCAAAACTCAGGGAAGAGGCTGCTTTGAAGGCAATGGCACCACAGCCAATAAAGCTTGGAGCATCTGAGACAGATGCATTTTCTAGAGCTGGAGCCATCAATGACAATTCATCATTTGCAGTTAAAATACAGGGATTACATGGGACTATGACTGAGGGTACTTTTTCTTTCTGGCAGTATCAGAAAATGTCTACATACAGATTTATATCTCTAGAGGAGAAGAGCAGGATGGCTTCCCCCAATGCAACGCATGTAGATGAGGCAATCCATGGAGAATGGTACAATGGCGGGAGTCTGGCTGCCATGAGTGCCCAAGGGGGCTAGTTGGCTAGAAACAACTTTTACACAGATCACAACATGCAAAGCACAGGACACCCACACTTGGATCAAGCGAGGCGTATATGGGCAATTTACCTGGCAGCTGCACAACAGTCATGAAATAAACTGAATGCCTTTTTAACCACAGCAGAGGTGTAGCCCATGGACTATGCCATGATCTGCTTCAGTTTGACCCAAGGCCATCAGGACTAAGGAGGAGAGCATTCTGCACTGTGATCTGTAGTCTCCACTGCCTGTAATCCAAGATGAAAAATAAGGGTAGCAGCATTTTGGAGTTCTAGGAGCAAGACTTTGGCCACCCCTGGTGCAAAGTTCCTATTTATTTGTGCTTGGGAAACATTTGCAACCTCCTTTTTTGGCAAAATAGCATCTTATCACATCCAGATTCAAATTATTATCTAAAACATTCTCATTAGGTCATGATTGCAGAGATCACACCACACAGAACTGGCACTGGCCAAGCAGGCTGCTACAAGAGAAGCTCTTGCATGCTGGGATAAAGGTTAAATGAGGCAAAGTAAATTATTCTGGCAGCAGTTCATTCCTACCCAATGCACTGAGCTTTATTCATGAAGAGGTTTTAGAAAGTGGTTTTGACTGACCAAGTTTTAGAATCAAGTATGTAAGCTCAGCAGAATGCTGCTTTTCAAGAATAGCATTGTAAACAAATGGCACGGACCCTTAGCCAGTTTTTTTTTAACATCCAATCATCTACTTGATCCCATCTGTAGAGTTCCCAGGGAAAAGAGAAACCATGATGGTTGTAATATAAAATAGCACCCACTTGGAAGTGACAGTTGAAGTTTTTGATACTTATATCTTTATTTGGTAGAATGGTTGTTGCAGGGCAATGCACAGCAGGAACAATTAAGAGGAACTGGGGCCTATAAAATAATCATCCTGCAGAGTAAGAAGGGGTTATTGCAGCATGAGACTCTCTCTTGGCTTTGATCTTTGGAGAGGAGCATCAAGCCTGGACTCTCTCCTCTCTCTTTGAAATTTGCCCTGGACAGAGGGTTATTCTGCAGGGTGAGAGCCCATGTTGTATCTGTCTGAAATAATTGTACCATGGACACACAGTGAAATGGGCAGCATGAGCACCAGGGGCACTGCCAGAGATCCAAGGCATATGGGCACTAGCACACTATTCATCTGATCCCTGCTGCAGGGAGTTCCAAGTCACAGTGATGTTCAGCAGCTGAGGAGCATGACCCAAGTCCTAAGCCTGCTCTGAGACAGCATGTCCCACCTGGATTCTCAATGCAGCATTAATACTAGTAACATAAAGATATCACATGTTTTTGTTGCCTGCCCTCGCCCCCCTTCTCCCAATGCATGTGCAGAGCCCTCCCTCCCAAAAGGGCCATCATTCCCATCAGTTGTTGTAAAGCTCCCAAATATACTGCTTGCCTCCTACAAATCCCCACAGAACAATATCTTCCAGTTCCCTTCTGTCCCCCAAGCTATTTCTCATGATTCAAACCAGAACTCAGCTACAAGGTGCAGGAATGGGAGCAAGTTCCATGCCCAAGTCCACTGCCTCCCTCATTCACAGGCCAATTTGCTATCAAAGCTGGAAAGTCCGACGGCAAAAGCCTGGAGGGCACATAGTGGGTAATTATAGTCCAGAGTGAACACGTCTTCTGCTACACGACCAAACTGCATCACAATGTATTCAGCTAAAGAAAGCAAGAGAGATGTTATTGGTCAACAATTTCATAAGGAGAGAGAGAGGTAAGAGAAGAAACAGTGAGAAAAGCAGTTCCATGTATGCTTGGCTGGAATGACAACCCCCCTCTCTTCTTTACCAAAGTGGGCACAGAATTTGCTTACAACAATGGTCCTGCTGTTCTCCTTTACAGAGCTACTCCAAACCTATGCTGGGTTGATTTGGCTATCCCACATTACTCCCCCTTCTTTTTTCAGCATTTGCCCCTTTCCAGGGCAGTTATTTTGTCCTCAATCCAAATTGAAGGATAGGTCTCATATTATGCACTGCCCAACTGGAAGCTACTGATAACCTGTGAGCTGTATCCTTCATGCTGTCCTCAGCTATCCCACATTTTACTTGTGGGAGTGGTGCCCTCCCCATTTAGTTAGCTGCGACAAGGCAATCCTGTTTTCTTCACCAGAGTGACAACCCCTGCCTCTCCCCATCCACCTCCGCCTCCCCTCGAGCTCTTACGGTCATTCTCATGGACAATCTGGAAGTTCTTCACTGAAGCCTGAGTGACTCTCCCATGGAAGTTCAAGACGTAGGACTGAGTGTCATCGTTCCAGACTGGGGCCTTGTTGTGCAGCTCAATTAGGTTCTCTAGGTTTTTATTTTGCCATTTTGCCAGCAAACTCTCATGTTCCTGCACAAGAGAAAAAACAACCATGCTTGGGAGGGGCTGCTTCTATTTACTGCCTTTCTCATGTTAATCCACTCTCCTACTGTGAGAATAACAAGCTGATTTAATCAGAGCCTGCAGGAACAAGGGACAGTTCCACACATTCCTGGGTCTGAGGATTTATTTTGCACCCCCACTGGCTTGTCATTATTGCATCTCAATTCCAACCAGAAGAATGAGAGGGTATGTACCTTCTACCAGTATCAAAGATATTGATTATCTATACAAACTGTCAGTGTGCTGGCAGGAGGATTTTTAACTTCCTAAACACATTTATCCCTCCAGGACTGATCTTTTAGAGAGATCCCAGATATATTTATTTTAACTCCCTAGTAAAGGGGTCCAGGATGTTCTAGTGGGAAATTCAAAGGGGCAGTGGGCTACCAGTAGGCATGGATTAAAGTGATTCCCCCATTAAACCAGGATTGGACACAGGTACACAATATGCAAGAAAATGTAATGGGGTGGCAGGGTAGAAAAGAGCACATTTATCATATCTGAGGAGCATGGTCAAGCCTGGAATAGAAACAAGAAGTGAGGACAAAATCAGCTCAAAGGAGAAGTGGAAAAAAAAGTCAAGATGTTCAATGAATTTCAACCTGAACCAACAATACAGGCTAAATAATAATAATAATTAAAATCACCCTGAAAAAGGTTATGTAAACCAAAAGTAGGGACAAATGTAACAATTGTAGCAATAGGACAAGCTATTACAATATAACTTATGTCTGCCTGATTCTGTATCCTTACAAGTATAGCAACACTGTTGCAACTTTAACCCTGTTGCATGCCTGTCAAAATTAGGGCAAGTTAGCTACAGCAGTTACATTATAGCAAATGACAAACCCTCCCAATCCATGCCCCTCCCCACCCCCTGCCCTTTTAAACTGTATAAAGCAGAATCCAGCTGGGCAAAATCTAGCCCACGGGTTGGATCCAGGCCATGGTGGACTCAATTTCCCAGCAGCCCCTGTGGCACTGGCTCTGTCTGGCTGCTGATGCCAGCACCAGCCCCGCTGCCCAGGCACCCCGGCCTGTCCATCCTGCACCTACCACTGGAGGCAAGACCTGCATAGGCAGGGCACATGGCCAGGTAGATAGGATGGGGGCTATGGATAGGAGTGAGACTGGCAGGTGGAGCTGGGGAGACCCAGGGATCTTGAGGTGGTGACAGCACTGGGCTGGAGCTGAGCCTCAATCCACTGCCCACTCCTGCAATAAGCGCGGGTTCTGCAGGCAGGGGTGTGCAGGGAACGGACTGCCACAGCCCCATGCTGCTACCACCCCAAGATCCTGACCCCAGGCACAGAGCAGCTCCCAGCCCAGCTGCGTGCCCTGCCTGCGTGGCTCCTGGAGTCTCCATGGAGACCAGCTGGGAGCTGCGCAGGCAGGGGTTGCTGGTAAACGGAGTCTGGTTGCCAGCTGGATCTACTATTATGCCCACCCCTGGTGTAAAGGTACATTTGTCCATAGCCTTAAGTTATTCAGCAGGATCTTTGGAAAGCAGTTGACTGAGGAGGTCTGAGTGACAGAGCTAGAGTAAGAAAGTATCAGGGCAGGATGAAGGGATGCTTGCTGGTTCTTGGGATTTTCTGAATGGCTCACTGCTTAGTTATACACCTATTTTTACTTATATCTATAAAGATGCCAACAGGACTCTGGGAATGCACATTGGGACTATCATTTAAAGATGATCTAGTACTGCTTATTCAGAGACAATCCCACATATGGTAGGCGATAATATACCTCCCTCAGTTAAACTGTATCTGGTACTTAACTCCATAAAAAACCATCATTCAACCTTGGTCCCATGGACATCCTCCCGCTCCCTACCTCACACCTCCTTCAGATGCTTGTGTTTCTTAGGACAGTTAAGACCTGGACAGTCTTAATCACAGTCTCTTAGCTTTCTTTAAATGACGGCTTCCCCTGGAAGGGGGTAGACCCATAGACCTGATTTCCTCCCCTGCTGCCGCCACCACCACCAAGTGCACTCTCCAGTGGAGCTGGCTGGTCACAAACAGAAACACATACAGCATTTTCTTATGGGATGATGCATCTACCATCGCCGCTAGATCCTGACTTTTCTATCCAATCACGCAATCAAATGCTTGTCTAGGCTCTCACCATTTCTTGTCTCAGTTACTGCAACATCCCTTTTTTCTGGCCTTGACAAATGCCATATTGTTCCATTCCTATTCACTTGGAATGGAGACACAAACACCTGCTTCTTGGCCCAGGACTTAGGCCATGTCACCACTCTCTTTCCAGACCTCCACTAGTTCCCTCTTCTGTACTGCACTGAACAGAAATGATTTGCTTTCTCCAGGCCTTTCGTTGCCTATCCTCATCCCATCTACAAATTTTTGTTCACTTTCAAGATGTTAAACTCATTCTTCCATTAAATCCATTATACCTTTCTTCACCACTTAGGACTCCCCTGTACTTATTGGTAAAAATAGCTCCTTATCCTCATTCAAATTCATCAAATTCTTCCCCTGATGCCTCCAAAAGATGATGATGATGATAAGGTTGTTAGTGTGCTGGCACCACTGCCTGTCATGGGGACCAATACTGTTTGATTCTTTCCTTGTATTCCCCTTCCATCTGTATCCACCTATTGCCTTTTGTTTTAGACCTATGGCCTGAACACAGAACAGATTGACACTGGTTTAGTTTACACTGCTTCTGTAAAACAGTGGTGGCTAAAATGGATCAGCTCTCCTGGAGTAGCTGCTACTCGACGGCAGAGAGTTAGCAATAACCTGTTTGCACTGAACAAATGACTACCCCAGGATAGGAGTGAAGACAATACCTACAGTGGTATGATTTACATTTGTGTATTTTTACCCATGAAACCTTGGGGTAAACACTAGATTCCAGTAAGTTACACCAGCGTGGGGCCACACACTGTGTAGCTGCTCCTTTTTCATACTGGAGTAAGGAATGGGGTCATGAGGTTGTAGGTATGTCATGTGTCCAAGCCCTTAAAATGGAAACTTTCTGGGAAAGGGGACTGTCTTTGTTCTGTTTCTATAGCACCTGATACTAGAGGTGCACTAATATATCGGTTGCATATCAGATCACCACCGATCAAAGGAAAATTTATATCAGCTATTAGCTTTTTTTGGCCAGCAGAGCTGATAATGTTCACCAATAAATATAATGAATTATACTTTCTGATCAGGGCCCCTGGACACTGCATGCGTGTATGCAGCTGCACGCATGCACATGGCCAGGAATGAAGGTGGCCAGTGTGGAGAGCAGGTCCCTGAAGGTAAGTCTGTGGAGGGAGAAAGGGTGTGGGGGGAGGGAAGGGGCATGGGGGGGACAGATCGAGGTCCCCACAGTGAGGGAGGGAGTGGGGCAGGGACTGGGGGTGCTGCCCAGCCAGGGTGGTGACTGGGACCTGGGGCCAGGATGGGGAATGGGATGGAGCCACGGGAAGCTTGTCCAAATGGGAGGGGGGTGGGCTCCCTGCTGCTGCACCCCCCCATGAGGCATGGAGGGGCATCCCCCCCCAATTTGTTTGCAGGGCAGATGTGAGCTGCCCACTTTGGGCTCAGGACTCTCCACCCTGCTGTTTTGGCCCTGGGAGCCCCCCACTGGCTACGCATCCCCTGCCTGCCCAGAAGCAGTGGGAGCAGAAAGTTGTGTCTCCCACTGCTACGTGGCAAGGGGCCCGCAGCTGGTGTGGGGATCCCTGGGCAAAGGCAGCAGAGCAAAGAGCCCTGAGCCCACAGCAGGCAGCTCGCATCCGCCCTTGCCTGGCTTGGCTCCACTTAAAAGCATTCCCACGCTTAAAAATGATGGCAGTGGTGTTTGTACTAAAGCTCATTCAACAAGCTTTAGTTCAAGCACTCCTGTCACCATTTTAAAGGGCCGGGATACTAATCCCCTGGATGAGCTTTTTGCAATAATAATAAAAACAAGTAAGTTTCCTAACCATGAGATTTTACTCTCCCAAGGAAAACAATGAAATCCTATGGAAGTTACTTATAAGTGGCTTGAAAAAGCACACCGTAGTTAACAGTTCTAGGAGTGAGATAACTGGAAGCCAGAAGGCCTTTTTCACTTAACATCTCAGTAATTAACCCATAGCGTGCTACACAGTTAGCATCCTTTGCCTTGCTCTGTTGGTATCTGACAGTTCCAAACTTACATTTCGTGGCCTAATTGGAATCCGCTTGTGGTTCATATTCATCCCCGGAATGATCACAGACATTTTTCTGGGACCCTTGAATCCTAGCACATTGGTTTCCTAAAAGGCAAAGAAAAATGTTCTGAACTGGAGCCCTGCTCCACACAGCACAGAGAATAATGAGACTATTCTAAATAAATACCTGGTCCATGTGATACTGAATACATACTAGTTGCAACCATAATTGAACAAGACATAAATATTAGGAACAGAATATTTCCCCCACTCCTCCCCCTGTAAACTAGATATAGATATTGATATAGTTATCATCACTCTTTGGTTAATGCAGTTCCCCACACATAGCCCAGAGCATGGCTTTACAACCTAACTTGGCTAAGGTGATTCTTGGACAACTAATTTCATTCACCTTGTTGATGAAAAACACGCCAGATTCCTGCTAGCAACACGCCAGATTCCTGCTAGCAACAAAGGCCAGATTCCTGCTAGCAACAAAGGTCTGAGTAAGATTTATGGTCAGTATGGCTTTGACTGCCTTTGTGTCTTATCAGTATGTTGTCCATTGAAAACATAAGGTTCTTGGCAGAATGAACAATCACACCCTCCTTAGCTTTGTTACTATTATTGTTAGGGATATATCTAAAAATCTCTCTCAAACTGTGCCCTGGCATAAAAGATAAGAGAAGGCAACAGGGCAACTCTAGTCAGCATCTGGCTTAGTTTCAATCCTGAAACAAAATTACGCTTAAGTGTAGCAGGGAACTACAGCAGAGGACTCCATTCAGTCCACATGCAGGGAAGCAAAGGCAAATTGCCTTCTTGGTCCTCAGCCCATCATTCATTTTAATGTCTTCAACCAAAAATCTGTCATGATGGTTACTTTAATCTTAACCCAAAATAGAAAGGAAGATATTTAGGGCATGAACTTGGAGTGGCTGCAAAAGGGGAGGGAGAGCTTCGGATAGGGAGCATGCAATGGCTGGTACCTTCTGAGAGTTACCTGTGGGCAAGCTGGGAGAGAGACAAATGTAGCAAAGCTGCTCCAGCTTTAAACCTGGAAGAATCACTGTTAAAAGCTGGAGCAGTTCTGCTACATTTGCATGGCTCCCAGCTTGTGCACAGGTAACCATTAGTATTTAACAGCTAAGTATAAGCAATACAAAGCAGCAGCTCCCCCTCCCCTTTTCAAAACACTCTAAGTGTCCTTTTGTGCATACCCTCAGAATGCATCCTAAAAATAATCTTACAGAAACTTCCTCAAGCATACTAGTTCATTCTATGGATCAGAGTGAATGTTGCTGGAGCTGAGACCTATCTTATTCCATCTCAAAAGGTATTTTTAGAGAGAGTTCTGAGAAACAGGTTAATGATCTTACACATATATAGACAAAGCTCTACAAATTTTAATAACTGATTGTATCACTTCTTCATCACCATCAAAATAAAGTTATCTTTTAGGTGACTCTCTGCATTTATTACAGAAACCCTATCTAAGTTAGGATGGAAACTGACAAAAACTGTATATAGCGCAAAACCCCAGGGGCATTTATATTAGCAGGTTAGATTCTTGACAGAACCTGGAGTTCACTCACTCGATTGTTAAATGCTATTGAGCTCCACAAGGAATACACATGATTCAGGACCTTCTTTGTGTAACTTAAAAAGACAGTTTCCTCCACTTGCCTAATGCCAATTACCCTATCCAATGATTCAGGATAGATACAGAATGAAGAGCACCTTCTGCTGAATCATGATCATCATGTGCTGAAGCACCCCAAGTTTCACTGCATGCTTTTCCTTGCACAGGACCGCAGGTTCCTCACATCTCCTGGGCTGAGGCAATTCAGGAGCTCAGGGGGAAAAAAAATGTTGGGAAGGAAGGGAGTAACTTACATAACAAATGGCTGCAAGCTCCTGTCGGGTGTGGGCCTTTTCCACTAGCCCCTGTGCCTTGACTGGGCTAACTCCATGATCATAGACAGTAAATTTAGTTCCCATAAGGTTAGACCTAGGAACAGGCAAGACAAACAGTGAGAAGCTCGGCTTTCTCCTGGAGACCATGTGATGCAATTAAACTTTCAGCCTCTCTGATGTTCCCATCTGAATTTTTCTATCATCAGCACTAATAAAAATGTCTGTCAGACTGGGTCCATCACCTGACCTGGAAATGCACTGTCAGGCTCCTCTATATAAAAGACCACCATCATCTTTCTGAAAGAGATTCTGGTTTGGAGAAACATGGATTACACTACCCAAGACAGGGTACAGTTAGTTACATGCTCAAAAACAAAACTAGAGTGCTGCTCAAGCCTCCAATTTGGCCAGTGAAGAACTCCAACCTCCTGCATGAGCCCACACATCATACACTTGCCTATGGTTTTGATTTGTGGTTCTTACCTGAGTTTTCCAATGAAACTTTCCCCTTCTCGGGATAAATCTGTTGGATCAATTGAAATCAGATAATTGGATGTTTTACTTTTTTTCCGTTTTCTCCCAGCAAGAAGGAATGTCTGGAAATACAAAACTCTGATTAAGGCAGGAACTCTGAAAGAACCCAGTTGCAATGCACCACTTCAGACCTTTATCCCAGTGACTCTTCATCATCTCTTGCCTTTTACCTACCATCCACTTCAACAGACTTGCTACACCTGCATTTCCCTACCTCCTAGCTCATTTACCACACCACAGACCCTTTTCTCCATTCTATGAATGAACAGTCTGTATTCTTGCTCAGCCTCCAGTTCATCCTAACCTACCTGATGACTCAGATTTAAAATAGATCCCCCTTCTAGTAGTCCATTCAATTGTTTAAACAGGCACTCAACCTTCCACTCTTATTTTACTCCTGTATTTTTAATCCATTCAGAAAATAATACTTCACTTCCTAGGCTGTTATAGTACTGCTCCCATATCTCCCAATGTCAGCTTTAGTGTTCTGTCCAGGCACAGACTTGCTGCCATCCCCTTATTGACATAATTTCTTCCCAAAGTTCCTAGCTTCATGCCAATACATGCACTGTTCTACATTATACTGAAAAGTTTGTTGCAAAGAATTCATCAACCTAGGGCTGCAGACTTTACACTAGTCCCAATACCTTTCTGTTGTCATCCCTTTCCAGGTGCATGTAGTAAGTGGGGAAAAGGCCTCGGTCCACTCCCTTCTTGTCTCTAGTGATTCGACACTTGACTGTAACGCCACGGGGTGCAGGGCGCAAAGCAAAATCCTCCAAGTTCTCCACTTCTCCCAGCTGTGCATCTGTGTGAGAGGATGCAGTGCAGGAAGCACCTGTTTCCTGTGGGAATAACACTCTCATTAGCAAAATGAAATTTGGTCAGAGGTTGTGGTAGCCCAAGAAAAGAATGACTTATTGGGATAGGAGACTCCATGTCCTAAGAGGAAAATGCTCTGTTGGAGAAGGGAAGCTAAGCCACAGGCTTCTGTCTCAAGGAAGGAATTCACCATTGAGAATAAACCAGGCCAGAGGCTTTCCCTATCCTGAGGGAAGACTGGCTCTTTGAGAGAGGAGAAACTGGACTGGAGTCTCCCATACCTAGGGGGAAGAACGTTTGTTAGGAAGGGGAACAGTTGCAAGCAAGATATCATTTTGAAAGGGGAAAATGCTGCTTTTATCATAACAATGAACTTGAAAAACACCGTGGAAAATAAAGCAACACATAAAGTACTTTTTAATCAGTTTGTCACAGAAACAAACTGTGAAACTAATGGGCACTGTAGGGGGACAGAGTGGGTTTTGGTCTTTGTATGGCTAAAACCATCACTGAAACTTCAGTAGCTCAGACTGGTAACTGAAACAGAAGAAGCACTACAGGTTCAACTGTGGTATTGGTTCATCCACCTGCAGGAGTGAGCACTAGGGGAACCACCTGTGCAGTCATGATGCAGGTCAGTACCAACAGAATGGGTAGAGACCATGGTAATAAAAGTCTAGATGTATAACAAGGGAGCTGAACTACCCTGAACACCCTCTGGCAGGGATGAGCATAACTGCAAGCCCTGTAGCCATTAAAATTATTTTAACACTGGGGTAGACATCAGAAAGCACAAACCTGATCCTCATTGCAAAGAGATGTCATGGTACTTACTGTGGCAGATTTTTGGCTGGTTGCAGAACTAGATCTCTCGGATTCAGAATATGGTGAATGACATCCTGACTTTTTTTCAGTTTCTTCCTCCTCTTCTGTGTCCTCCTCATCAAAATTCAGACTGCCTGAAATCCCTGTTAGAACATAAGACCAGCTGGGTAAGCTCATAAGAGGGATATTGCAAATGCAAAACATCACCAATACACACGCCCCTCACACATCTTCCAAGCTCTTAGCCCCTCAGTACACCTATAGCACTGCTTACATGGAAAAGTAACACTGGGATAGTAATGAGGTCTTAACTGCCTTTAATGTGATAACATTCAAAAGGCAAACCAAGGGGTAGAAAATTCAGCATATAAATCCAAATTCAGCTCTTCTGAAATCAGGCCAATTATGTAAGTTCCCAAATATGGAACTTTAGCCATTTTGATTTGATTGCTCCATCTGCCTTTGTTGGGTACAGAACTAGTGGTAAACAGAGTAGTACCATAAAAGCAAACCCATGTCACAGCGGCTCATTTTACTTTTATCCTTAATTCCACTTGTCTCAGTGGCCTATGTCTCCCTCACAATGCTTTCCTCCTACTTCTCAGTCCCAGTTACTTCTCTAGTTCTGATTTATTTCCATTAAAAAAATAATACACATTAAGAACAGGAAAAGACAATCCAGCTCCATGCTGTGTGGTCATCATGGGTGACTTGAACTTTCCAGACATCAGCTGGGAAGAGCAGTCAGCCAGGTCTGACTGCTCACGTAGGTTCCTAGCCGAGATACAGGACCTCCATCTAACCCAGGAGGTGCACAGCCCCACCAGGGGAGACACCTTGTTGGATCTGGTCTTGGCCACGGGCGATGACCTGGTGGGGGGTCTGCAGGTGCTTGACCACCTGGGCGACAGCAATCATCGCCTGTTGGAATTCACCACCCAGCGCAAGGTGGCAAAGGCCTGCAGCAAGGCAGCAGCCCTGGACTTCAGGAGGGCAGACTTCAATGAGGTAAGGAGAGTAGTCGGGGAGGCACTGAGGTCCCAGAGGGGAGAGAAGTCGGGTGTTCAGGAAGAGTGGTCGTTCCTTGAGGAGACAATCCTCCAAGCCCAAAGGGAGGTAATCCCAACATGAATCAAAGGGGGCAAGAGGGTGCAAAAGCCCCCATGGCTCACCAAAAGCATCCGGGAACACCTCCTAGCTAAAAAGGAGACATACACCCAATGGAAGGGAGGGGCCATCACCA